CTTAGGGGTTCTTGGCAGCCAAAGCTGAGGGTAGACCTGTGTCTTTGCAAGCTGCTTGTGTGCTTTGTACCTCCTTTGAGCTTCATCCTCTTGGGGTTGAAGATGGAGGGACTGTGGTTGAACCATGCTTAGCATCAACAGTGGGCTTCTCTGTGTCCCCAGATTCATTCATTCATTCATTCATTCATTCATTCATTCATTCATTCATTCATTCATTCATTCATTCACATTTCACCCCACCTTTCTCCTTAAGAAGGACCCAAGGCAGTTTACATCATTATAAGACAATATTAAACACTAAAAAGAATAAGTAGACAGATACTTAAAAACATCAAACAACATGCCACAAGTAGACAGATACTTAAAAACATCAAACACATACCACACCGAACAAAAGCGACACTAAAAACACATTCAAAGCGGCGAGTTTTAAACCATCCATCTAAAATCTCCAGTCAGGCAGCCAGTGATTAAGGCAAAACCAGTCTGAAGAGAACAGTCTTGGCCTGCTTGCAGAAGGACAGCCAAGAGGGGGCCAGGCTGGCCTCCAGTGGGAGGGAGTTCCAGAGTCTCTGGAAAGGCCCCTCTCCTGGGTCCCCACCAAAAGGCACCTGTGAGAATTTAGATTTCAGAGCACATGAGGGTGAAGCTGGAGTGAGAAACCGGGGAGGCATTTTCGGTCCGCCTGAAAAGGGGGGAAAGGACTGTGCTTCTGTAGCCTGTTCCTGACGCGGTGGCCCTTTTGAGCCCATGACACCCATCCCTCTCTCTCTCTCTCTCTCTCATTCCTTACCGTGGAATAGACTCATTGTGACGCTTCTCAGTGTCCTCAGATCGGCGAACCAACCCGCCTGAACTCTTTCCTCCTCTTGTTTTCTTTTTCCTCTGCTCTACGTTACCTTTCTCATAAATAATACGCGCGGAACGTTGTTCGGTCTGCAACCCGCCGGGCGGCCAAAGAAAGCTCCTGCGGGGACATATTGACTAAGCACGCCTCGCCCACGATTATCCAGAAAGAATTATTGGCTGGGCTGGCTATTGATTTTCTCATAATTTCCAGCCCTCCCCCAGCTCTGTGTCACCAGAGAGGCAGATCACAAATTGAACTGCAGCTGAATTGCTGCGGGATTGATTAAAACTCACGGTAATTATTGCTCTGGTGCTGCTCGAGGCAGGCTTGGTCAATGCGAGCAACGACGACGGATGGGATTCTTCAGGCGAGATCAGGGAAAGGGCAGGAGGGGGGTTCGCAGCACCAACCGGAAAGGATGGGCTCTGCCCCCAATGACCCGGACAGCTTGAAGGGGTGCCCGGCTGTGAACACATGGATCGAAGACTGAGTTACGAGGTTATGGAAATGGGATGGGGGGGCTGCCTCTCCCAAGGGAGGGCAACGGTGGCTTTCCAGCTCTCGTGAGACTGCCCTTCCTAGCGTTCCTCCCCGTTGGCTGAGGCAGGCTGGGGCTGATGGGAGTTGCAGTCCAGACATACCTAGAGAAGCCCCTCGACTTTAGAATGCGAGTCAACTCTGCAAGCGTTACATTGGGCATCCTTCTTGCGCAGCCCAGCCACGGATGAGCCCCTGAAGCCATTCTTGGTGGGGGTCAGTGGTCTACCCGAGCCTGGACTCTCGGTTCAAAGGTTCACGTCTTCCAGAGTAGCGAGAATGATGATATCACCCCTCACCACCCCTCAGGCTTCCTTATTTTACTCCAATCTTAGCTGCCATTCCTCACAAGGTTTGGGAGAGAAAGGGATATCTGCAGTCATGCCCTGCTGGACGATTACCCCGTTTAACGATGAATCCACTTAACATTGACATTTTTGCGATCGCAAAAAGATGGTATAAATAGGGTTTTTTCGCTGTGCGATGATCGGTTCCCTGCTTCAGGAACTGATTTTGCTTTATGACGATCAGCAAACAGCTGATCGTCGGGTTTCAAAATGGCCACTGGCTGAAGAAAATGACCCCCCACTGTTTTTAGGACTGATTTTTCACACTATAGGCACTGAAAATGGCTGCCCCATGGAGGATCTTTGCTGGACGAGCAGGTATTCAGCCAATTGGAACACACTGAACAGTTTTAATGCATTTCAATGGGTTTTGTTTTTAATTTCGTTCAACGACGTTTTCAGCGATACGAATTAACGTCGTCAAGCAAGGCACCACTGTATTGGAGACTTGGCTGTGGGTGAGCAATTCAGAGCTGTCAGCTCTACCAAAGACCTGCTTCTCATTTGCTGGCCTGAGCAGATCCAGCGGTCTGCCATGTTGGGCTATGTCAGGATAAGCACCTAGCCTTCCAAATTTACCACTGCATCCCTGGGACGAGGGGCAGGGGAGGACCCAGGAAGGTAATTCCCTTAGGCGGTCATCTCAGGGTCTCCCCACATGGGGGCAGGGGTGTGGGAAAAGCTGCGGATCCTGCCCCTGTCCAACCTGCTTGCTGCTCCTTGGCCGAATCCCCAAAGCTTTTTGGCACACGCGCTCCCTGGAGCAGAGATGATGAAGTGCTTGCAATTAAAGACGGAGCACTTGAAGTGCAAAATAGTTTGCAGATATTAAGTTAATCTTGATGATACAGGTTTATTTAACCCATAAATATGTCATGGTGGGCCTGGAGTCGCAGCCAGAAATCTTCCCTCCGTCCAGCTCCGGTTTCAATGGGCTACGGGAGAGGCTGGTTGGTCCCTCGGCCCTTTTCTTTCACCCTGACCGTCTCTTCCCAGTGCTGGTCCCGTTTCAGGTGCAGAAGCCCTAGGAGACGGGGCTGTTCGCGCAGGTTCCCCGTGTGCCAAACAGAGGTGTTTGGACAATTCTAGAACTGGGTTCTGTGCATGTCTGGGCACGATTCCCACTTTCCCCCTCCTTTCCTTTTCATCCGCTGCAAGAACGTTGGCTTTCCAGCCTTCAGCTTTAAATCGGGTGTAGGAATCAAAAAGTCTGTAAGAAACTGGTCCATGGGGCCTCCCCTCCAGCCGTGAAGAGCTTTAAAGCAGAGCTTCTCCACCTGGGTCCCCAGGTATTCTTGGACTACAACCCCCAGAAATCCTGGCCAGCACAGCT